TCTGTTGAGGAAAGGCATTCAGGCAGGAGTGCATCTGCGCCCGAGCAGCACCGACCCGCAAGAACGTGTGCCAGCGCAATGAAGTGCACATGCCAGTGCATAACCGCTGCCGAACCAGAACTGACTTCTTCTCTAGGCAGTTTCCGGAGCGAAGCTTAGAACTTTCCAGACAACAAAGCTCTGGTGACAAGAGACCTGTATGGCCAACCCACCTTTGGCAAAAACAGCAGCTCGTCAGTGCTTGCTGTTTTTTTTCATCAATTAGATCCCACTTCATTTGGCAGCTGTGAAATCCTTGATGGATCGCGTCTCGACAGCGCCGGAATTGGTGCCATACATGCATGTTCGTCAAGAGACACGGAAGTGGATTTTTAATTGATCTTACGTGTCGATTTGGCTTAATTAGTGTCTTGTACTCTTTTCCATATATGTGTCTCTTTGGCAACTGTCTGGAATTGAGAGTAGCGCCCGCGCGGACAAAAAAAGTCCCCGTTTCGCCGCAGCTCCGATTTCTGCGTCTAATACACCGCTACGGTTACCGCATCCATGTCCAAACCCGTGATCCGAGAGCATACGCTTACCGTGCATCCATGCCCAAACCATAATTTCGTTCGTGTTCTACGGTGACTAGAGCATCCATGCCCACACCATAATTTCGTGTTCCAAAAACAATATAGTAACTGAAACATCCATGTCCAAACCTACTTTCATGTGTGTTCCAACTAAAGCATCCATACCCAAACCAAAATTCCATTTGTGTTCCAAGAGAACACAGTCACTAGTGCATCCACGTTGAAGCCATAAGTTCTGCGAGAATACGGTGACTGGACCCATGCCTTTCCAGAGTTCGAGAATCCGGTGATTAGAACATTACAGCATCCATGCCCAAACCATAATTCCGTTCGTGTTTCAACAGAATACGGTGAGTAAAAAGCATCCATATTTAAACCATAATTCCGTTTCTGTTCCAAGAGAACACGGTGACTGGAGCATCCATGCCCATACCATATATTCGTTCGTTTGTGTTCCAGAAGAATACGGTGACTAGAGCATCCATGCCTCCACCATATTTCCGTTCGTTTCAAGAGAATACGGTGACTGGCATTCCAGTCCAAACCAAAAATTCCGTTCGTGTTCCAAGAGAATACGGTGACCAAAACATCCATGCCCAAACCATAATTCCGTTCGTTTCAGAGAACACGGTGACTAGAGCAAACCATAATTCCGTTCGTGTTGAGTTTGGTAACTTGGTTAGTGAATAACATGTGATTGACTCATCTAGCATTCACACAAGCTGAGTGCTGGAGAATCAGTGAGTAGATTCGTCAGAGACACGGAAGTGGAGTTATATCTGAATTTCTTTGCTTTACGTGTCTTTGGTTTAATTAGTGTCTTGTGCTCTTTTCCACTTTTGTGTCTTACTGGCAACTGACTCCGGAATTAAGAGTAGCACCCACGCGGACAAAAAAAAATCGTGTTCCGAGAGTCAAGAGAATACGGTGAATAGGGCATCCATGCCCAAACCATAATTCCGTTCGTGTTCCAAGAGAATACGGTGAATAGAGCATCCATGCCCAAACCATAATTCCGTTCGTGTTCCACGGGAATACGGTGACCAGAGCATCCATGCCCATGGTTCCGTTCGTGTTCCAAGAGAATACGGTGACTGGGGCATCCACGCCTATTAGATTTCACCGAAAGCCTGTGTCCAGCATATGTGTGTCCCCCAAGAAAACAGGATGGTTGAGGCCCTGGGAAGGCCCTCCTGATGTAGACAGTAGCGGTCCATGGGACATGTCGCCTATTGGGGTTGTCAAACACAGCCTCACAGTTGCGGCCCCCCGATTCAGAAGTGATTGCGTAGGTGACGGCGTGTATCTCAGCGCCTCTATATGGCAGTGTGCTCTGGACCTGAACTCCTCACTGATTTTAAATGTCATCTCATGACTCATGAAAATCGAGCGAATATTTACGCATTTCAAATTTCAAGCATGTTGTGTAGCTGTAGGAGGAACAAGAAAATCTGTGGCAGATTTTGCGCATGTGCTTGATATGTGGCTCAGCTTCCAAAACAAACTGTCAGTGCATAGTAGAAAGGAGGCTTCAGTCGGCTTCAGCTTCAGAAGTCAGAAGTTCAGGTTCAGACGTCGTCGTCGTCGTCGTCGTCGTCGTAGTAGTAGTAGTAGTAGTAGTACTAGTCCTAGTGCTGATTCAGTGCTGATTAGTAAGCCCTTAGTCCCTTACTACCCATAAACCTTAAACTCCTAGACAAGCCCTAGGCCCTAAGCCCTAAGCTGTGGAGTCGATTCTATCCATTTTATTGGACACATGTGACTCATATGACATTGTGACATTGTCGTGACATTCAAGCATCTGGGCTCCAGCGTAGGGCCCCGTGTGTTTGGGATTGGGTTCCTCCTGCCCCTTACCTGGCCCCTAGTGTTCAGGGTCAAGACTGCTGCCATAGTGCCCGCTGTGCCGCAGTGGGTGCTTTTACAGATCACAATTCTGCCTGTGCAGCATTTGCGCTGCCGCTTGCTTGAGATAGTCAGCGAATCTCTGCTGGATATTGGAGCCTCTGAGTCTGGAAAGAGCTACGCGGACAGCCTGTGTCTGGAGATTACGAGAGACCTTACTGGTCAGGATTTACTCGTTTTCGCTAAAGAGACTCTACAACTGGAGGACTTTCAGAAGCTCCGTGCTTTCTGCGCGGCACATTATCCGCTGCTGTTTGCTGCAATAGATGAGCAATCCAGGCAGTAAGGCACCATGCATGAGCCCCTAGTGTCGCAGTCTGAATGGACGTATTTCATTAATTGCATTTTTCGCAACACTATGCTTCGCAGACTATCTCAAGATTACTTTGAGAGTGGCGTCCTCGGCAGGCAGCGCTCAGGAAAGATGCAGCATGCTGGTAGATTGGTGTGCGGCCATTCCCCGGAAGCAGTTATGGAGAAGCTATCACCCTTGCTTTCTGAGCAAGCCAGAGCGGACATGCGTACCATATATGTCCACTGGTGCCGGCTCACGGCGCAGAAATTCATGCCCAATGACTGCTTCCAGGATCACAGGTGGGGATCCTTATCCGCGAAAGAACAGTTGCGCATGCAGCTCGAAGGTCGCCAGCTCATATTTCGACAAATTCATGACATGGTGCAGGGCTCCATCCTGTATGTACCATGTGCCGCCAAGTGGAGACGTTCTCGCCCGGGTCTGCGCTCTAAGGAAGGCCCTTTTGGGGCCTTTGTTGCTGCCAGATGTCGTTGTTGACTTATCCCCAGCTAGCTTCGCCTGTAAGGCTCTCGATCCGCCTGCTGGAAGCGGATCCACCCTCACATCTCCAAGGCGTCCTGCTTGTGCGGGCCCCATGAGGCCAAAGAGAATAAGTATGACGTGGGCCCTGCACCTGTGTGATAAAGTGACAACCTTGGCCCTGGACTTGGGGCCAGGGGAGCTCCCTAGAACTTTTCTAGCAGCCCACCATGCATTCGGAATATACCTGCCAGCTTGACACAATTGCTGGCCTCCGCCCCTCCAGACATGCGGCATAACTTTACAAAGTTCTGCCAGAAGCATGTAAATGACACATGCCATGCCATACAGAATCATGACCACAGCGCTACTCTGTGCTGCCACGTGGTTGCTGGTAAAAATCTTCTCCAGAATCTGAAGGACTCTCTGCCTGCTCCATGGGCTCTTCGACCTCATTATCGGAGAAAGTTGCAAGGGCATCCTTTCTAGGTCGCAACGATCTTTCGACCATGCTTTGCCTCCGATGGTCGTTGAGGAGTCTGTGTTGGAGAGCCAGTCTGGAGCCCTCATCGGCCTGGTCGATGGCCTGAGGTCGATTTCTATCTGCTAAGCAGTTGGGGACTGGCCGTTTCAACACCGCCAACCAGAACAAGGAGACCCATACAGGGAACTTTTTCCGGAGATCCTCCGCCCCTCGTCTCAGGATTGTAACATGGAATTGTGGCAGCCTAGGTAACAAGTACCAGCAAGTGCTGTACTGGTTGAAAGATGAACATCGTCAAGGTAGACCGGTCGACATTCTTGCTCAAGACGACAAGCATGACCCTCAGTGGTTCGTGATCAATAGTGGGTCGGGCAGTGCTGAAGCCGGAGTTCTATTTTTCATATCCACGAAGCTTGTTCGGAGCGACGAGATTCGATCAGTCGCACTGCACGCTGGTAGGGCTCTCCATGTTAGGCTGATGTTGAACCCCCCATTGGACCTGCTGAATGTGTACCAATATGCCTGGAATCCCAACAAACAAGGAGCTGAACAGGGACAACACAAAATGGATGCTCTACTAAAACAACGGATGAGCATATGGAAATCTGTTCGCAGTTGGTTGGGGTCCATTCCACGTCGGCACGGATGCATTCTGCTAGGTGACTTCAACACGCCTTTAAGCACATGTCCAGGACTTGTCGGCGGTGGTGTAGCCAAGAGAGTGCATAAGCCAATGCAGACCGACCATGAGGAGTTCCAACAAATTATCCAGCAGTTCGCTTGCATCGCCTTAAACACATGGTCTCAGGCTGGGGATCCTGCCCGCACTTTCATCCCCGCGGTGGCAGGAGACGGTCACGGCACTCAGATTGACTTTGTCTTGAGCAGAGGACGCGTGGTAGACGGGCAAGCTAAACAAGCGACTCCCTTTACGTGTCCTATGGTACCAGCAACGGGTTGCAGACACCTCCCGGTACAATGCAGTATTAGGAGGCCAAGATTGCCCATGCAGACTCAGCAAGCAGTCAGACAACAACCTCAGCAGGTAAGCCAGCTACTTCAAGAACGGGAGCTAGCTGCAAAGTATGTCAGCGCAGCAACCCAGGCCATTGCAGACATGGGTCAGGGTGACAGCCTGGATAACACTCTGCGATCCAGCTGGCAACAATGCCTAAAGGAAATGCACAAACACAAACCACGAGGGGCTAATGCAGCCAGCCAAGAGGGGGTGAGCCACCATTCAGTATGCCTTCAAATTCGTAGCATGTGGGACTTAAGAGCGGAGCTTCGCTTGAACGACACCAAGCGCTCATACAACAAAGGCATCTCTCTGAAGGAGGTCCTCCAGGGATGGCTACAAGCAGCCAGGCTACAACAAGTCACTCGTGAGGTTCGCAAGGCAGGCAGACTTCGCAAACTTCAGAAAATAGAGCAAGTGCTGCGATCCACCAACATTTACAGAGCAGCCAAAACATTGGCGCCAAAGGCACCGCGGAGGAGAATGCAAATCAGGGACAAGAATGGCCGGATTCAAACAGCCCATGCGGACTTTGAGCAGATCCTCCAGTATTTTCAGCAGTTGTATTCCGGTCCGCAGGCAGACAGCATTGTTCTGGATACACCCCTTCTTTTCACGACAGATGACGTACAACAAGCTGTCCATCGGCTGTCGGTGTCCAAGGTTATGCCTGCCGCCAGCGCTCCGGCTGCTTTGTGGAGATTGCTGGAGAGGCCAGCAGCGACCAAGCTGACCCAACAGTTCAATCAAGACTTTTCGGGTGGTCCAATTGTAATTCCAGATCTTTGGAATGTGTCAGAATTGGTGCTGCTCCCCAAGCCCTTTAAGCCTTTAAAGAGCCCTGCTGACCTCAGACCTATAGCCCTGCTACCCCCGGAGATCAAAGTTCTGTCAACCATCTTAGCCGAACGCATACGCCCCTATGCGCTGCAGTATTTGGCCGACATTCCACAGTTGGCTTACCTTGCTGGGCGCTCCTTGCAGCAGGCGCTACACAGGGTAATATCTCACTGTGCGCAAGTACGGGCTTCCGTGGCCAGCCAGGCCATCAACATTCATGGACGAAGAGCTGGACAAGGCTCCAGACCACTTTGTGGAGGGTTAATGTTGTCCTTAGACATATCTGTATGAAATATCTAAGGCCTACGATCGCTTGCCACGAGTAGATCTCGAAGCTTCCCTGAATGCAGCCGGTGTCCCTACGGAGCTAGTGAAGGCCGTAATGTCACTTCATCAACAAGCTCGTCTTCGGATTGAGTTTCATGGCCATACAGGTGAAGTCCAGACAGAATGTGGAGTACATCAAGGTTCCGGACTGTCTCCTTTGCTCTGGTCAGTGTATAGTGGATGGGTCCTAAGACGCATCGAGGTCAGTTCGGGGCTGGCGGAAGCCAACAGCACGTACGCTGATGACTTTCTTTTCAATTGGGCCATTGACAGCTTGCAGGCAGCGGACAAGGCCTACCAAGAAGTACGTTCGGTCTTGCAAACGCTTCATTCGCGTGGACTTCAGGTCAGCGGAGACAAGACAGTCATCCTCCTAGAGCTCCGAGGCAAGCACTCCAACAAGGCGCTCAAGAAGTACATTGTGAAAACTCATCGTGGCAGGTGTCTTCGATTCTGCTATGACGGCCAGCGCATGGATCTCAGAATTGTGCAGTCTCATATTTATCTGGGGGTCAGCATCTCGTATCGGAAGTTTGAGCAATAGAGCCTGAACCACAGAATGAAGATTGCCAAAGGCAGTTTTGGGCGCCTCAAATCGGTTCTCACATGTCGTTCAGTTCCAGTCCGCAAACGTCTGGAGCTTTGGCGCAGCTGTGTAGTCTCCACGTTGATACATGGCCTGGATGTCATGGTCCTCTCTAATGCTCAGGCTGGGAAGCTCAGGTCACTGGCCATACAACAGGCCAGGCAAATCACCAAGTCATACAGCGTGATCACCAGGGAATCCAATGATGACTTCATGGAAAGGTATGCTATTCCAGACGTTGTGGAGTTGATTGCTGCAGCCTTTGTGCGGTTCTCAGAGAAACCCGCAGCTGACTTTGAGCAGCTACCGGAGCTGGACAGGTGCCGGCAATGGCGATCCATTCTGAGTGCGAACTTCCTAGACATTGCCCCGGGTGCTTTGGGTGCACGCACCGGCCCGGATGGCGTGAATATTCTTCCTCCTGTCAAACTTGTACCTGTTGATCTTGTTGCTGAGCAATTTCTTTGTGATGAGTGTGGCTTTGCTTTGCAACACAAGCTGCCCTGAGATCACACAGATACAAGATGCATTTTGAGGAGGACCGGAAGATTCAGAGAAGGGAGGAAGTTCAGCAACAGCAACATCATTCAGCAACAGAACACGCTTTGGATGGCATGCCAACATGCAAGCACTGTCTTCATCAATTTGAGACATGGCCAGCGTTCACGTACCGCATTAATTCCCGCAGCTGCAGCGCTATACGCAAATTCTTTGAAACCCCTGATCTAGATCAACTTGCGAACATTAGCGCAGCATTAATGCTACAGGATGACATGGTACAGCTTGCCGCGGACCTCCCCTGGCAACAATTAGCGCTTCACCCGCGGGTGCAAAATTCCTTGCATCATTGTTTGGAATGTCACCACTGGAGCGTAAGCCCGCTATATGTCAGGAGACACATGAAGGCCAAACATGCAGACACGTGGTGGATTGTGCAAGCGGTAACTCAGTCCATTGCAGATAGTGATCTGGCTCTGAAAAGCCCCTGCAAGTACTGTGGTGTGAAGTTTGCCCAGCGACGCCAGCACCTCAGAAGCTGTCCGGCTATTTTCAATGGTCACTATTTGAAACGAAGACTCAGTTTGCGAGCCCAAACCCCTCCTACCATTCAATTTCCTTCAGGCAATGGCGGCATTGGCAGAAGCAACTCTGGAACTACAGACCATCCAGAACCTGATACCCGGCCTCACGGCGCAGGTGGATGCGTCGATGAGCCCAGCTGCCGTGCCACCGCAAGAGCCACAGGCAGCCTCGACGGGCAAGCCAGCCGAGAAAGCAGCTCGGGAGGCGGACGAGACGGAGGCAAATCAGGGCAGAGAGTCGAAGTGGTTCAAACCCGACAGCAAGGGCGGCAACCCCAAAGACAAGGGGCTGGGCCCAGAACCAAGGCGATCAAAACCAGATTCGCGAGCTAAAGCAGCAAGTCGAGCTGCTCAGCGCACTGATCCTGCGCCACGAAAGCCAGATCATGATCAACCGCCAGGATTTCCCAACAGCCTCGCGGTGTCAACCTACACCGTGGCCAAGGTATGGAAGGATACCAAGGCCAACGCTCTGGACAAATTGACCAACCCTCTCAGGGTCGTTTTGTTCCAGCATGTGCTGACCACGACAGCACCACGCTTGGAGGCGCTGGAGAGCTCCACGGAGCAGAAGGAGAACGCCAAGAAACTTGGCTGGCTGTCGGAGGATGGGAACCACTATGTACGGATGAAATGGAATCCCACGTTGAAGAAGCACGAGGTGGACCCAGGCATTCAGCGAGTGCCCGTACAGGTAGCCAAGTCAATGCTGCTGGAGGCGGCCACCCTGGCCAAGGAGCCGTTCGCTGCGAACAGATTCCATGCGACGAGACCGTTGTCGGAAGAGTATCAAAGTCCCACATTGACTTTCATTTTGGAAGTGGGTCTAAGAACTCAGGAGGCCAATCGGATTTGGCAGATTCTGAACAACATGGCTCAGACGTCAGTTTGGGTGGCAGCAGGAGTTTTCAGCCGGCACGAGCGGCTCCAGCGCACAGCTCTGGCTTCGAGGGTGGCGCAAGGCTATTCGAACTACTCAGGCGGGTCAAGTTCGGTAATTCGGGATTCACTGCTACACCAATGCTACCATGCGGTGCCTGCTCTGGACTTGCCACACCGTTGAGGCTCTTCGTGATCATTTTGATGATGATCTGTATGATGTCATTCAAGGTGCCTGGGCCTCGGACTGTTTCCACTTTTGGCGAAACAATATTTGGAAGGCGAAGCTCTGTGAATGGCGCAATCCGCATAATCAACGTGACGTGGGCGAGTTCCTTAGATTTCTGCTGGACAAGTGCCCCAGCCTCCAGCTGGGCTTCCAATTCAGATGGGAGGCCAGAAGAGTTCACGGCCCTGGACTCGATGAAGTTCGGATTTTGGATGCAGCGAGCTCAGTCTTACTTGTGTTGGACTCCAATATTCGTGGTATGGACGATGGCTTGTTGGAAAGAGTTACCCATCCAGCAACTTATTCATGAGTGGGAATGCCAGGAGAGCACGAATGGCTTCTGCTCAGTGCCTGAGAAGCTAGCCATTCTGGCCGGGCGGTTTCATGTGATTGAGGGAACACTCGTGAAGCGCCATTTGGAAATCATTCCCAACCATAGTAGTGGGAGCTACAAATAGAGCAGAAGAAGAAGTAGAATAGCTAGATTCCAGAGGAGTAGCATAGTAAGAGGAATAAACCAGGAGCAGTTGACAACAATGTAACAATGTGCACATGCGCTCGAATGCTTCAGACCTGCAGTCCTGGATCTCAGGAAGAAAAGCAGTGCAGCAACTGACAATTTGGGATTTTACGGGGTCGAACACAAACAAGCTTGGCTTTATATCACAAGACTCATACTGATAACCCATTAGGCCGGCCCATTATATCAATCACACGCAGGTAACTCAGCATCACGGATATATTTCCTGATCAGTCCCTGTCCCTCAAGGCTGCAAGTGCTGCAAACGGGTCTGCGGCTGCTGGGGGCTCAGGCTCTGCGCACACACTGGGCATGTCCGCAAAAATTGTCTGGGCATCGCATCTGTATATTGCATTCACAGCTACGTTGTGAGGCAAGCAGGTTTGTGTCAAGTGCCCGTTCACACGCCAATCGTTGATGCTGGGATGGAACTGCAGGTCCAATGCTTCTACACAATCCTTTGCACTCCCAGCCCTGTCTACGAGCAAGGCCATCTGAGTCACCTCTCTAGGCCATGCGAAAGCTTGGCTGAACTTTCTGGAGGCATGTGGGCTGCATACTGCAACAAATCTCGATAGCCAACCTCCAGGGCCTCATCCACAAACCTGTTCAAAGCCCCAGCGGCAATTTCACCAACCCTGCGGCCCCGCATGGGACACTGCAATCGAAGCTTGTCAGGGACCCCTAAGCGATAACAAACTGTGGCTGGATGGCAGGCACAGGACTGGGGCCAGTTTTCGATATGCGACAAGATTGAAGACAGAACCGCAATCAATTTCAGAAACCCCCCAAAATCCGGCGAACCCAATGCCTTTGTTGTTGCTACCACATGGGCTGAGCTCTCTTCCCCAAATCCCCCTGCTAGTTTCCCAAAAGTAGGGTCCACCTTTTATCCCCCCAAAGTATGATCCTTATAATGGGCCCCGCAGAATGATACCTTCAATTTATTCGGAATCCCTAATCCTTATAAATCACTATATCAACCCAGCTTCCATTTCATTATCCGTTTTTATTTTCCATTTGATTCTCCATCATTGGGGTCTACAATCCCAAACTCTATAACCCCCCACGTAATCCCTATATATTCCCACATGATCCCTTTAGATAAGCCTCAAAAGGTAGCCTTTTTTTGGGAAACCCAGACATCTTGAGTCTTCTCAACGCTTCGCGACGAGTCAGCATCTGGCTGGCTGCCTGCCTGCCCATCTGCGAATTGCACACGAGATTCATCCCACGTTCTCTTCAAAACATCCTCACGCAACAAGAGCCATTCAGTGATTTCAGCCGTGACTCCCCAAACCCGACCTCCTGCCAACAAGGGAGGCCCCGTGACAAACACAGGCTTGTAAGCATGATACGCGCCTTGCAAGCAGGTATGCACATACCTGTCACAGGTATGAGAAAAGTGGAAAACATGCCCGACAGACCCTATGAGCACAGACACTTCCTTCCAGGACGGCAATGTTTCCAAAAGACGCGACTGCAAATTCTCAATCATGTGGAAGCAACCTGGAACTTGAAGGACCTGTTTCAGCGAGAGGCACTGGTCTTGCTCCACTGGCAAGTCCTGCTCAAAACCTGGCACTTGACCCTGACCTTCAGCATCAACCTGTGCAACTTGCTGGCTGTGCAGCCAACGCGGAAACAAAGTAGAAGCCGTGCTTGCTGCGTCGCACAGCCTGGACTCCACCCCCATGTCTGTTGTCATAACAAAACACAGATCTGCAAGCTTCTGCGTAAGCTCCCATGTGTGAGACTCAAGACGCATAGCATGAAAAGTTGCGTGAAATTTGTGCGGAAGGCTGCTTCGTCGAGAGCCTATACCCACTGGGGGATACACGTGAACATGAAATGTGCGGCGCACAATGTCTTGCAGGGATCCAGTGACAGAAATGAGTGCCTCTACATCTAGGCTTTCATCCCGCATTACCTGCATCATGTTCTCGGACGCAGCAAAAGCAACCGAAAGATCCTGCGACGAAATGTACAAATACTCACGCATTAGATAATCTCTTCCAGCCTGAGGACTAGAATCAAGCATCATTCCCATGAAGCCTCCATCCGTAACCATCGACCTATGCCGATCTCTGCGCGGAAGCATCTAGGCAACATCCAAGTATGTTCTCCCACGACAAATCGTAGCTGGACTGGGAAAAATGTTTCCCTCCAACACATAATCCACATGACCTTGCACGCTGGCTGGCAATGTGCGAGTTGCCCGCTTTATAATGACATGCATGGGGTTGGCACCCATACTGCTAGTGAATCCTCGGAGCGAAAAACTCAAAATCAAAGCTTGCGCAAAGAAGATTGGATTGTACCCACCGCGCTGCTTCAGAATGGGGCGCAGATGCCCGCCCCTACCCCTCTGCTTTAGCCACGTGTAACGTGCAAGGCTTGTTGAAGACAGGGCGCCGCTACACTCATCAAGCCAGCTGGCAAACACACGCAATTGTCCAACAGTCTCATGGCGACTCTCTTCTGATTCTGCGTTTCCGATTATACGCGGGGCCCAATCACGCAAATTCTGTGCCAGCGCCTGGAATATCTCGGGATTGAAGAGCTCTCGCTGGCGTTGCTGTTCCCGGAAACCTGGGCAAATGGGAGGGGTTGCGGTTTTAGGTCATATCTAACTTAAGATTTAAGACTCCTGAGTCGTGAGTTTCTTGAATTCAGATTGGACAATTACGTCAATTACGGTCACAGTCAGGTAGGTAAGGGGTAAGGTAAGGTCATTAGTAAGGTACTCCAAGTAACCAGGGACCAGGAATATTACAGTATTACAGTATTACATTAT